GAGGCTGTGCATCCGTCTGGCTGCGCGTGTGTGCGGTGTGTATGTGTGTACGGTGTGCGTGTGTGTCAGCTCAGCGTTTCTGGGGGAGGAGAGGGAAGGAGGAGAACGTGGGAATGTGGCTTTCTGCTCTGTGTGGCAAGCTCCCTGGATGAGTTTCCCGACACAGAGAGACACACAGAGCTGGAAAGAGAAGAATACGCGCAAATAAATCATAAATAATCCCACTTTATTGCTGCCTGATTTTCCCTTATCGGAAACCATTCATGTTTGCAGTTGCTGAGGTTATTGAGAGTCGTAAAAAAATGGATGTGATCTAAACAAGAAAGATAAAAAACAAAAGCAATACTGGAGAACCCGCAAGTATGGGAGGATTCCCGGCCTAGAGATAAATCTCACAGCTATGCAAAACACATGAACATTAGAAATTTAACAGAGTGCCTTAAAAATATCAAATTAAATGTAGGCGGTAGTAACATGCACGTTAACAATTTCTCTTATGATAGATGGTTCAAATTAACTTCCAGGAAAGTGCATTAACGTTGCCTTTGAAGGTTCTGGTCTGAGCCTCTGAGAACACTGACCGCCTTTTATTATTGTAACCTGCAAGAGGGAAACATATAAACACCCGGGACAGCAGGTAATGGGGGAAATATAAACAAAGCCAGAAAGAATGCTGGTGGCGAACAGAGCTGCTCAGACTGGGTCTCCAGGCTTGCCCACTGTGAGTGGAGTTAGCTGCACTTTGACCACTGTTATTGGTATTATTGTTTTTAATTCCTCCGTTCAGAGAACAAATAAGCCATCCTAATAAATCTATCCTAGAGCCAGGACCTCCAAAGGCCAAATTAAAACCATTCTTGAGCAGAGATGGCAAAAGCCCATTCCTAAGGCCTTGTTGAACAGTAAGCAGTGGTATAATCTATCAATATTTCTTGGCTTCCATGCATGAAGAATCGTATTTACGTTGTATTAAAATGACTCTTAAATTTGCACAATATTGTAATGTAGCAAATGTAGTATTAATATCGATCTGAACAGCAGATAATTTATTTGGACAAGAGAATCTCATTTGTATGCAGGGTGGCCAGACCCCTGGACTTGGACTGCCCCCCTTTTCGTTTCAGTGCAAATGCAGAGCTGCTAGTAGGAGAGGGAGTTGGTCTTTGCAAGAGGATAAAGTGCGAATCTTAAAACAAATGGAAGATTTATTGAATAGCCTCCTCGGTGTTTGAATGCATTTTATCTTAATAAGTCTTCTTGATGGAAACGTGTTTTTTAGAAGTGACAAAGAGCCTGGGAAGCAGCAACCCGGCTGCTCTAGCTCTGGCAGGCCTGGGGCCTGGCTGGCTCTCCACTACCCTGCTCTTTAGCCAAATTAATCAGGAAGCAAGCCAGTGTCAGGGAAGCTGGGGCTTTAAAATCTCATCCAGTGAAGTGTCTTGAAGCAGAAATGTGACATGGGGCTGGACAGAGGTCTTCTCCAGAAAGGTGTCCTCTCCCTTCTCCTTGGCCCTCCTCAGGGTCTGCTGAGCCCCCTGGATTTTCTGCTGTCATCCCCTTTACCAGAAAGAGGCAAGGACTGTGCAAGCAGGCTGCAGGGAAGATCGTGGACTTGGGTGTGCTTTTCTTTCAACTTTCCGTCCTGAAACAGCCCTGTGAGAAGTGTGGCTTTAAAAAAAGTTTTCCCAAAGAAGCTTCTTGAACCAAGTCTTCAAGGTACAAGGGAGGTGAACAATAGCATTATTTTGTTGGAAAAGTGCAAACAGAGTATCTGAAAATGGAAATAGAGCTGTCAGTTGTAATTCACCCCTCTCCTCCATACAACACATTTCCACTTTTGACTAAACTTGTTTTGATTGCTAGCCAGAAGGGAATTCATGGGAAGCCTTCTCAAAGTCATCCAACTTTTAAGCGAACTTTGAATGATGGAAAAGACAGTTTTAGACATATTGTCCAAGGAGGTTTGCTCTCGCTAAGTATTTGAAGCTGGCACAGGGGTTCCCTGTGGTGGTTTTCACATTTGGCCTCCGGATGGTATGTTTAATCCTTAATATTCTGGACAGCATCCAAGGACTAGGTCATGACCTGAACTTACTTTAAAAAATTTTTCATTAATTCATAATACTAAATATTCCCTCAAATAAATGAGACCTTCCCTGAAAGGAGCCATCTAGTTAACATAAATACAATAAATCCATTTCCAGCACAATAATAACTTTGATTTCTAGTTATGGCAGCTGATTACATCTATATTTCCTGAACACTAAACTCTTCTGAATGCACAACATGAAATACATTCTCTGCACTACAAAGGCTAAGCCAAGCCGGGAGGGCCTGAGTAGTAATGGTTATTTATTTACATAATTTCTTTTCCATATACTGTAGAAGAAATATCGAGGGGTCCCACATTGACATCACCATATAAAAAGCCAGACGTGGGTTTTACACATTCTGCCTCCTTTTCTTTCCTAGGGTATAACTCATGGAGTGTAAATATGTACTGCATTACATCCCCTGCTCAACTAGCTTTGCTACTACTACCACTCAATCGATCTGAGAGCTCAGGCTGTCTGTCCACAATTGGAGGAATCCTGTGAGAGGAATATCCCGAGTGAGAATAAAAATCTAGAGTGGGAAGCCAGGCAGCAACTCAGGCTCCTGCGTGGGGGAAAGGAACTGGGCTGCCCTGGCACCTGGCAGCCAGGCCCAGCGGTGGGCATCGTGCCTTCAGAGCAGCGAGATCTAAGCAGCCAGCACAAACCTGCCTTTCCCAGGCTTCACTCCCTCGGAGTAGGAGAGAGGAGACATAGGGCTGGGAGAAGGGTAGTGACCTTGCAGTCTGGGGTCCTGCATCATAAATATCAGATAAATATTTTACAGACCTGAGGGGATGCCATATGGGTCCTTTAAGATGTCTGCTGGGATATCAGTGGGTCCTTTTCATATTGTATTGTCTGAGGCTGAAAAGAATCCCCTGGCATACTGGGCAGATAATGCATGTAAAACAAGATATATGTAAATATGAGCCTGTGTGGTGGCCTTTCAGTGGGGGCCAGGTTATCAAGCTGGGTCACGGGCAAACCTCATGGCCACCTCTTAAGCAGTGAAGCCATAATGTGCTCTGCCCTCACTCTGTCAGCCATAAAAATCTCACTGGCTCCCAAATCGGACCAGTGTGGATACACCCAAGCGGCTTTCTGGAGTAATGAGACATCTGAGAGGAACCCAGTCTGGATCGGGGGTCAGAGGAGTGTTGCCTCAGAAGTTCTTGAATTATCACTAGTTTTATTTGTATTTTTGCTTGAGGGCATCGCCTTATAGATGAAGGTGTTAGAATGCTTTGTAAATCCCAGTTCTTGAAACATAAAGACATAAAACTCAGAAATTCAGCAGACAGTTTTCACTTTGAATCATTTGCTGTGTCTTCGTAGGGTCATATCTGCTCATTCTCAATTATATAATGTCTTTTGGGGGGCATTGCCATGCATGAATTTTCTCCCAAGTCTATATATTAGCCAACACTACCTTTGATCTCTAGTCAACCTCCTGACTGTCTAAAGGCTCCTCTGTGATCTCCCTGTTTTTAAAATATTTATTATTAATATCAGAAGCAACACTGGTATTTGAACCCAGAAAGGAAGCTTTCCCGTCATTCCTCTGATTTCACCTGCCCCTCCATTTGCTTGCCCCTAGTTAGTTGATATAGTATAAACTGTTGTCTTGGAATATTTTTAGGAGATGGAAGAGACCAAGCCTTGGTTGAAGTGAGATAAACAGGCAGGTTTTAAGATGCTGCCATGGTGTGTAGGTGCCTTTTTCCTCTCTTGGCCTTGCCATGGGAAACAGCTTCTCCCCCTAAAGCCCCCCTCAGCTCCCCACGCCCCAGTTCTGAAGCAGCAGCAGCAGCAGCTGCCTCTAGCCCCAGCTTTGTGTCTGATCACTGAAGATGTCTCCTTTCTGCAGCCTGAAGTAACTGAGCCATATTCCTCCTGATTATTATACAGCTTACAGAGATGTGACCAATTTTCAATTACTTGATCTAAAGCACAGATAGAAATGTACACCATCACCAAGGATTTGCTGCAGAGTTCCTGCTTGCATAGATAGTAGATCTCAAATCCTATATTGCTAAAGCATGGACTTGATCTGATTCCAGGCACTGCCAGTCCATGATTTCTTACCCCTCCCATGTGTTCGTTCTCTACACATCCAGGTTCTTGTGATTTCTGGTCTGGGTCATTTGGGTTGGAGCCTTTAAGGATCCCCCCCCCAACCCGGGCTGCATATTTCTTCAGGGCTCTTCAACACCCCAAAATCAGGGGTAGAGGGGGCAAAAGTCCTCCCTTTAATGAGCACAGTGGAAAGACGCTCCCCTGCAGGTGGAGGACAGGTTGCTATGCACAGCTCACATGGCTCCAGCATCGTACATTATTTAATCCAAAGGTGAAAGAGGAAAAACAAAGGGACTAGAGAGGTTGCTGTCTCTGCATGTGTGTGCTTCCCTCTCCTGCTCCCCTAGGCTTGGTGGGGGCTTGATTTATTTTTGTTTGTGTTGGGGGTTGGGGGGAGAGAGTGGTGAAGGAGTGAGGAGGCATGGAGGGGAGGATTTCTTTCTTCTTTTCTCTCTTTCTTTTTCCTTGACCAAACATTTTAATGGCTTCTCTTTTGTGCTTTTGCTGTTCGATGGCCTAACGGTTTGTCCCTTCCCCTCTTCTCTCCTTCCCTGGCTGCTTGGGCAGACGCCTGTGGCCTGTCGGATGCTGCCCACATCGAGAGCCTGCAGGAGAAGTCGCAGTGCGCCTTGGAGGAATACGTAAGGAGCCAGTACCCTAACCAGCCCAGCCGATTCGGTAAACTGCTACTGCGGCTGCCCTCCCTGCGCACGGTGTCCTCCTCCGTCATCGAGCAGCTCTTCTTCGTCCGTTTGGTAGGTAAAACCCCAATCGAAACTCTCATCCGTGATATGTTACTGTCTGGGAGCAGCTTCAACTGGCCTTACATGTCCATCCAGTGCTCCTAGATCTTGGGCGCTCCCCACCTGCTCCCGCTTCCCTAGAGACTCAGAGGACCAGTGGGGGCCATGGACTGTAAAGCCTTGGGGACACCGGGCTGCTGATGCGGGGTACAGCCTGGCAGGCTGGGCAGGGGGTGGAGGGAAGTGGGCTGGGAGGACAAGGAGCGGCCCACCCTGCAGAAGTGCAAGCTGAGCTCCAAATCAGGAGAAAAAGAGACTCTTTTAGGATCAGATCTGTGAACACGGTGGAAAGGAAAGAAAAAGGACCTTGTGTCTGGTGTGAAAAACAAACAAATTTTTGGAAGAGAGGACCATGAGAATTTTAATAAAACAGAAGGAGACTAATGGACCTTCCAGGATTTATTGTGGACGGCTGTGGATATATTATGTACAGAAAACACACTTGAAAGTGGACTGAATCCTATGTAGAAACACACACCCCCCCCAACATTGTTATTCATTTTGTAAAATACTAGTCTTTATTTTCATTTTTTGTAAAATTTAAACATCGTATGCACATAAAAAAGGAAACAAGAATTAGGGGAAAATAACATTTTCCAAATAATTATAAAAAATTGTCCTGTGTCTATGTATCTATATCTGTTTTGTATTTTTTTCTGGTTCCAAACCAGATTTCCTGTGATTCTATACTAATAATTTTTGATATAACCCTTTGCTTCTTATAATGAGTGCGATATATGTTGTCAAGGCTGTTCTTCAAGAATTAAAATTGAAGTGAAAATTTAAACAAAAATAAAAGAATTTAGCAAAATCCACGTGTCTGGTTGCTTGACAGATGTTCTCAGTGCAAGAAACCCCACCAATTAATTTCTATCCGATTAATATTAGAGTAGGGGTTGTTGAGGGGGAACCTTTAAGGTCCACTACCAAGCTGGCAGCTTTACTTCCTCCAACCACATAGCTGCCTTGGTTTTCTAAATTCAAAGGGCCAGACACTGTGTGGCCAGGGTGGGAGGGAGGACAGGGCCTGTTGGTTCCTGGGAGCAGCTGTGGTGACCCAGCTCACAGCTGGGCCCCAGACTGGGGCAAACTAGGGGGAGTGAGGATGGGGGGGGGGAGAGGACAGGGTAGGGGAGGAAGGGGCGTCTCAGGGCTCAGTTGTTTCAGTGACCCGGGTGGGGAACTTTCCTGGCTGGAGAGGCTGGCCAGAGTCCTGCAGCATAAGACATGGGATGCATCCAGGCAGGCATAGGGCCACTTAGGTGCCTCTTCGCAGCTCTTGTGACTAGAATGTCCAGCCTCTCCCCAACTCTGGAAAAGCATGTAGGAGCCTTAGTGCTGTGAGCCCTGTTCTGCACCTCTTCAGGGTTCACTGAAAAGCTACTGGCTACTGAGGTTTGCCTTCACTCTCATGACAGGCAGAAATAGTCCTGAGTAAGTTGGGGTTGCTTCTGGAACCTGGGAGTTGAGCTAGACTGGAATTGGTTCTTTCCACAAGTAGCTTTGGGTCCTATGGCCCTTTTAGTGTAGAAAACTCCTGCTGAGGCCTTTCTTTGGGTGTGTGGGGCACTTCTCTCTGTAACAGCTTTCGGAGTATGAATGTTTTATAGGATCTCAGTTGGGGCTGCCAAGGGAGCTTTTTCTTAAGGTATTAATAAAGGCAGATCTTTTAAATAACACTTCTCACCTCCTCCCCCTCTTCTTGCCCCAAACAGACCTGAACGAGACAAGAGCTTCATTTTCAGAAGCCATTAGCAAAGTTCTTTCAATGTGTTGTCTAGAAGTCTCCAGGTACCCCTGCTCCCCCCCACACACACACACACAACACAGATACTTTAAAAATGCATTAACAAGCTTCAGCACTCCAACCAGCTTGAGGTTTTAGTATTGTGGGTGCAGTGTTGCAGCAGGGGATTGCTTGGCTCTCTGTAGAGCCCAGTATTTCTAGCCAGCCTGCCTGGGGTGACCAGGCAGGTAGGGTATATGAGATGGGTCCACGAACCACTGGGTCCTTCCCACCTCCTTGCAGCTCCCACCCTGCTCTGGACCTCATCTTTCTACCACACCCAGGGGGAACATCTCTGGGCTTAGCCCGCAGGTTGGGGCATCAAAGCAGAAGGGGTGTGGTGAGAGGTCATGTTCATATTAATCCCTGCCACCTTCTAGGAAGTTTCTGGGATCCCTTCTTCCAAAGTGAGGGGGTTGGAGTGAGGAGAGCTGCAGCTGGGGCTTGGAGGGGGGAAGGGAGCTAAACTGCACCCAGGGCTCACTGATCTTTCCTTTCTTGAAATGAGATGTAAATATATTCATTACAGTGTGATCCCTCTGATGAAAACAGATAAACATTTTTGTAGGCTGAAAACGTATTTTTCAATTAAGTTCAATATGGAGGCCTAAGCACAAGGCATTCAGTGTGGGGATGGACCCAGGCTGAGATTAGGATAAGTATACAAGTTCTTGCTCTGATGTTCAGAGGTGACAGTGGTAACATGGCCCTATCTTATGGACCCAGAGCTTGCCCACAGCTTAGGGCAATCCAGGAAACTTTCTAAGCCTGGGCCCAAGCTGGCTGCTTTGCTGAAGAGAACACAGTAAGGAGAAGAGGCAGCCTTTCCATAGCTTCACAGACACGTGAGCTCCCTCATACGCTCGCACGTGCATGCTCGCGCTGACAGAAGAAGAGCAAAAAGTGTTTCCCTCTAGTGCTTTTGCTAGGTGACCCCTTTGAGTCCAGGAGGTAGTGAGTGGCCTTCTCTTCTGCTGTCTTCCTAGGTGTCTGAATTAGTACCTGCCGGGGGTACACACAGTCATCTTGAGAGGTCTCTGTATATCTTATCCAGAGAGACAGTCTGACAGGGACTCAGGGGTTGTGTGAAAACCCCTGTTTTCCAAGCTTAAAAGCACAGTTGGAACTCATGAGTGCACTGGAACTAAGGGAAGATTTGGAGCTGACAGTTGTTTGAATCTTCTTGCAATCAGGAAGCACCCTTTCCATTCCAGGCAACCCACAGGCTCCCATGGCCCCTGTGACCAATAACCACCACCACCTGGGACCTCCTGGCAGCGCTAAGGGGCAGCTTCAGTTGAAATGTCTCTGCTCAGCATCGGGTGCCTCCCCAGGCCCGGTGAGTCACTGGGCAGAAGGAGAAGTGGAGCCAGTGGGAGTTCCCTCTGCTTGGGTGGCCTTCTTGAGGCTCCTGAGCAATGAGCCCACCTTGGAGCCAAGCAAGGGGGACCTTTAGAAAGGGGCATGAGGCCACAGACAGATGTAGGTCACAAGTTCATGTTAGGGGCACAGACCCTCCTTGGCAGGCCAGGGTGCCACAGCCCTAAAGGAGTTGGGAAAGCCTGGCAAGGCCAAGTGCATTAGGCAGAACTGACTGGTCTCACAGGCTCAGAGAAAAAATACCTTAGTTGAAGAGTAATCTATACAAGGTAAATTCCCTCTTGAAGTTATCTGTGACATATGAAAGTCAAATGTCCCCTTTTCGAACCCCAACACTTGCTGGGTGACTGAGAACGTTAGAGGCCTTGAAGTCAGCTTAAACTACTTTATCCACAGCTTTGCTGAAAACATCAAAAAGGCCATCTCAGGGATGTGCTCTTTTCTGGGAACCTCTATAGAATAAGGCTGCCGCACCTCTTCCTCTAGGGAACAAGATGTGTGTGTCTGGGGGAGGGTGGGGAAGAGTTTACATGTGACCTTTGCCCTCACAAGCCCACAGCTGGGTGATAGGGTTTCCTCCTGATCACCCAACAAAGTTGGCTTTCCAGACTCTACCCCTCCAAAGGGTTCTGCCTCCCGTTCTCTGACAGCCTGAAAGGGTCTTGGTCTTGTCACTGAGGGCCCAGCGCCCACCTTCACATCAGAGTTTCTGGGGATCTGGGACCTCCTCTATCCCAAGCCACTTGAGCTCCTCTGCTTGGAGCATGCAAAAAGTTTATTCTAGCAAAGTGCTCCATCTCCACTCGTAGGCGGCCCTACTATCTGACAGTGGCAGCATCACCTCGGACAAGCTCTCCATTCCTCAGAACAAATCACCTGACTGTCTTGCAAATGAGACACGGGAAGTAGCATGGGGAGGGGATGGAGGGAGACACAAGTGGGAACTAATAAAAGTCTTGTTAGAAGGTCTACTCCAGATCTGTGGCGTCACTGGGCCTTTTACTTGGAAAGCCAAAGAGTTGTATTCCTAAATGAGTTAAAGACCCATTTACCTCTGTCGTGTTCTATTCATCAAGCCACAAGTTGAGAGTTCCTAACATGAAACTATTTGTTTGCTTACACAACCAGCTGGGCGCAATTTCACGTCTGAGATATCTATCTGAAAGCGCCTCTCATTTATTATCTCTCCTTGTCAGCGAATCCATTTTCCAACTCCCCCTCCCCCTTTTGGAGTTTATTTATTTATTTATTTATGGTGGGACTTTTTTTTTTTTTCCTCCTGGGAGGACCTGAGTCTGTAATGCTCCCCGGGAAGCTGCCGCTCCCTGTGGGGCTTCTGCTACGCCCTAGACGCGTGGACCAGGGGGCAGCAGAGGCGCATTGGCGGCCACCGCTTACCCAGGCGGTCGGTCCATGAGGGTGCCAGGCAGGCAGCGGGTGGGCTTAGCCGGACACGGCGGACCTGCCCTGCTTCCAGGGTAGCCTCGCTGCTACTGCTAGATCTCCTAGAGTAAGCCGCAACCACCTGTGCGAGGAAGGGGTGGGAGAGTCACCGGAGGGGAGTCCGGGAGCTTCTCTCGGAGATGGGGCCCGATATACGGATCTGAGAGATGCTTTCACAAAAACCTCACCTAGTCTCATGGGGCCAATTTCTTCTTCCCAGGCCGGATTGCAGAGTGAGTAACCAACATGTAAATAGTTGTGTGATGGATTGGGGGAGGGGGCTGGTGCATTTATTGTGTGTGCGGAGGGGAGAAGGCTGCACGTGGTTTCAATTTTGAAGCACAAAGAAATAACATGCAATGCAGAAAATAGGTTTATGAATGTAATTGAGGGAAAAGAAAACAATTAACACGGTGCAAGGTTGCACGCTCAATTCTCCACCCCTCACCTTCTCTCCTACCCCAGTTTTGAGAAATGAGTGGATCTGGGCAGTTGGTCCCGGCTAGCAAGGGAACCCCTGATGGAGATCTCGGTGATGGGTGCATGATAATGGTGTCTATCCTTTCCCAGTCTGCTAAGGCCTCCTTCAACCAAGCTGAGAGCAAGGGATCAAATCCCCAAGTGCTGCCTCCAAAATACCCTCAGTTGTAAAGGCAGAATGGAGTAGGGGTACCTGAGAGGGAGGAGGTCTGGGCAGGGAAGAGGGGAGGGAGAGAGAGCTTTCTCTAAGGCAGACCAGGCTGGTCTCAGTAAGCTATCCTATTGTGTTGATTTAGGAAGACATTTGCTGTATATAACGTTTAAGGCTGATAATATCATTGCGCAGCCAGATAAATAAAGCGTTGGCCCAACTGTGGGTCAGCCATCGATCTCTGCGCTCCGAGGAAAAAGGAGAGAGACAGGGTCGTAAGAAGAGGCTCTGTCTGTGTGCTTGTCAGTCGGCAAGCAGGAGCCCGAGTGTGAGCGTTAGGGTGCGCAAAAGGGAACCAAGTCTTCAGCTGGCCAAGAAGCTCATTAGCATTCCTAACCCATGGACCTGCGCTGACAACTAACAGAGATATCCCGCTCACCACCAGGCCTCCTCTCTTTTGTCTTCAGATCTGGAGGAGAAAAAGATTTCTCCGTGGAAGCAGGAGCCTGAACTTCCATGTGTTTGTTGGAGATTCCAGGCATTAAAAAGGACTTCCCAGGATCTGGCCTGC